TGTGCTTGTGTCGGGAGGTTATTCGACCGTGGTGGTCCGTGCTCCTCCTCCCTCTCCGACATGTGGTCTCTTGGGGCAGGTCCCTATGTGGGGCCGTAGCTCGTCTGCAGTGGCGGGCTGCTCTGTAGTTTTGCAGCACCAACAAGCGTCGTTGCAGCGGGCGGATGAACGCTTGCGCTGACGACAGCGGGGTGCTGACGAAGTGCATAAACGTGGTGGTGGTATCAGTGTCAGGTCGTCGAGTCGCAACTCTGGAACTCGATTGTTGACTGGAATCTTATACCATTGGCCCCCCGGGTCCTGAAGCAAGTAGCCCAGCTCAGGACCCCAAAGCTGCCGAAAGCCATCAACCTCGATCAATTTCCCAACTGATAGTAATGATGGACAGTCTGGCAAGGCAAGGGCTGAACTGTGTAAGCCAACCTCGGGTAGCCGTATGTCGTAGTGCTCGTTGACAGTACGATCACCATTGGCGGTTTCCAGAATATGCTCTTCGCGAATAGATATGCGATCCGATTCGGTCTGCGTTAATTCGTGTTTTCCTTGAATATGATGAGCAGAACCACTGTCAAGAACCCAAGACCGTGTCAATGCAGCAGTCGAACGTGGAGGGTCGACTTGCTTTGTCGTTGTCATCGTCTGGGCTGTCTTTGTTGACTGCTTAACAGTGTCGTCATACTTTCGGATCGCAGTTGGTGTGGCCACCGACTCTTTGTTGTGTCGGTAGTCATATAGGTCGTCGTACCATAGTTGTGCCTCTTTTTGACATTCACGTAAGGCATCTGCACTTTGATCCCACCATCGTTGTGGTAACGGGTCTGGCACATTGACGATGTCACCCTCGTTCGGCATCTCTTTCCATTTATCCAATCTGGCCCTGCCAGATACGGTATGTAAGTAGTAGTATTCCACGCTGCGTACGTCGAAGCGTATCCGACGACGCATTTTAGTAGATGTCGCTGTGGCCTTAGTATTGGCCATGAGGGTCTTGTCACGGATGACGCAACTGCGGTCTGAACGGCGTGAACGTCGAAAGTTGGCAGGAGAACGCGCTCTGGTGCGGGGTGAACCACGGGACGAACCATGGCTCGGAGAACGTCTGCCACGTCCTTTGTCACTACCATATGATCTATCACGGCCGCGTGGACTGCCGCGCCCGCCGCCACGAGTGTCTCGCCCTCGGGAAGTAGATCTCGAAGATCTGTCGTAACGACTTCTCGATTGACTGCGAGAGTCTGGGGACCTCCTAGGTGTTGAACGAGATCGGTCGCATTGGCGTTGGTTGTCACGTCCATGTCGCGAGTCGCTTGCATAGCGAAACCCCCCGCGTTGTGAAGACCGTTGGCTTCCTGATCCGCGGGATGGTGATCGGCCACGGCGATCCTGGCTGGAGGTCCGTGGTCGACTCGGGCTTCGCTCAGGAGTCTTTGCACCAGGTGCAAGATGAGCGTATTTGCATTTGTCGCCTTTTGTGCACTTGTTCTGTGCGAAATCTTTACACTGTGCGACGTGTGGAAAGTTACACTTATCACCTCTGGTACATGTGTTGCGCTTGGCGAAATCGAAGCAAAATGGTTTCGATGCTGGCTTCTTGTGATTCGCAGGAGTGGACATACTACGGCGGGGGGTGCCACCAGCCGTTGATGTTCTGGAAGATTGGTTGTTCTTCCAATCCCTGGAATATGTATGCAAAGCCTTGCACCGTTCACCATTGCGACAATTGCCTTTCTTCCATGCAGCGCACACGTTGACTTGAGATCGCGTCTCACGTTCGTATCGTAACTTGTTTTGATTCTTCTCCAATTGTTTAATCTCCAGTATGTCCAGGACACGCTGTCGAAGCCAACCATAGGTACGATTCGGGTCGCTCATCTTCATGCGCTGGTACTCGTACATGTCTTGTTTCATCCATACATGTCTACGAATCTGTGTACGAAACAGCGATTCCAATATCTTTGGATCGGGTGCTTCTCGGCATTCCAAGAGTAAAGCGTCCCAATCAGTAATGAAACGTTGCAAATCGTCATCTCTCATCCTCAGTTCTTTAAGGCGCTCGTAATCGTGCAGGTCGTCGTCAACCTCTGTCACTTTGTAGGACTGTAGGATGTGCCAGTAGATCTGGCGTCCTTTGAGCATGCGTCCTGCTTTGCGCTCTCTAGTTTCGATGAGCCTGATTTGGTAGCGTAAGTCCGAGGATATGATGTCGCTCAGAGCGGTAGCGAGTTTGCAATCGATGCTCTCGAAGTCTCCACTGTCTTGTAAGTCCTCGAATGTACATTCGGGTTGTTCAGCCACGCATAGGAAGGCGTATGCTTTGGATGGTCGCCCTGAGGCGGCCCCGAAGTTCTTCCGTACTTTTTGCTGCCACTCGAGCAGCTGCGTGATCTTAGGCAAGACAGGGACTCGAACGGTGTCTGACTCCTTGATAGGAGTTGTAGTATGGACCGACACCGCAGACAATGGTTGCGAGGGTATCGGTGCACCGTCGGTAGTTGGTTCTGTGCGCACAGGAGACACATGGCGTGTCTGTGCAGAAGCTGCCGCGGATGCTGCTCCTGGTGACGTACGTCGTTGTTGTCCTGCAGAAGCTTGTGGTGCTTCGGCGGACGCTGCCGTCGGCCTGAGCAGGTCGGCTGCAGGTCGAAGGTGGAGGTTGGTGTCGTTGGTGTGGTCGATCAGCTGATTCGTCCAGCTCGTCATGTCCTCATGTATTTGTGCCACCTTTTGGCGTGTATACTCATCAGTATCCCGAGAGCGTTGTGAATACCGATCAAGTCGTTGCTCGCATGCTCGGAGACGGGCGCTTTGCGCCTCCAGCTCGCTTTCCAGACGTGCGAGGTGACCCTCTACACGTACCTTCCCAGTATCTCTTTCATGAATAACCTGGGAGAGCTCCAACTGCGCGTGGTCCGCCGCCTTCTGAACCTCCTGCAACCTGTCAGTGAGGCGGGCGAAGTCGTAAACCGTGGGATGAGAATCCAGCTGGCCAGTCTGGGCTCGTCCGACACGCAACTCTGCCGGGGCGTCCTGCACACCAGGAAAACGCTGCTCAATGTCAGTGATCCGGTTAGCGAGTGGCTGCGCGACAGCGTTGGTCGCATCAAGCCTTTGAGTGATGACTCTTTCAGTACGCTGCAACATGTCGATCAGGTTCGACGAGTTGGCGTGTGCTTCGGTGCGAAGCGTCGCCGCAGTGTGGTCTAGATAAGATCGAAGATCATTGATCTGAGACTGAACGTCGCCAAGGTCGGCGGCCTCGGCTGGTGTTGGTCGGTTGCGGAGCTGGTCGTGGATTTCGTCATGTAAAATCCTGACTGCTGAAACGCCTGTGTCGCGTACGAGCACAAGCTGTTGCTCCATCTGCGCGAGGTAGTTGCGCAGGTTCTCGACCATCGCCGTTCGTTCACCTGAGTGTGACACCTCACGATCAACCTGGTACTGCAGTTCTCCTATGATGCGTCGATATTCGGCGATCCTGGAATCAATGATCCCTAAGGCGCCGTCAAGATCGCGGCGTATTGCTGCAGTATCGGCGGCGTTCGTCTGAACGCTCTGCAGTAGTCCAGAGTATTGCCTGGACACGAAGGTTTCAACCTGGTCTCTGAGCTCAGCTATTTCACCTGCGGCGGACGTTTCCGCCAGCTGGTCGTCTGAGATGGAGAGGTGGGGAGCGTCAGCTTCCCTGTGTCCCCTGTCACGGGGAGTGCATGGCCTCTGAGAGGCAGTACGCGGGCTCGACCTACTTTCGCCGTATGGGCCTGGGGCTCCACGGCGGTTGCGCGCGGACGAGCTGCGACTCGGACCATGCGCGTGTGGTGTCTCATCCGATGATACCTTGGGGTACCGCGTCTGTGGCTGCACCAACACTGGTCTACTGAGTTCCTCGAAGGTGGCTACGCGCTCCGCCACAGGGACGGTCGCAGGGCTGGGGGTACCAGCGCCTGAGGTCCATCGGCGGTTAGCGCGGAAGCGCCCTGGAGTATCGTGACCGGTGAGGCTTTCGCCTGACGCGGTTGGGATTGCTCCCGACGGGGAAGGGGATGGAGGATCGAAGGTAGGCGTGTGAAACTCCTTCCTTCCTGTTCCTACTCCTTCTCCTGTCCCCCCGCGGGCGGCGCTGCGGTGAAGCTCAGCAGCTAGTCGCGCGTCGGGTCCGTCGGAGCTGGGGGGGGTATCAGGAACACCAACACAGTCCGCACTAAGGCTCTCCAACTCGTCACCAAGCCGTCGCGCCGTGGGAGAGCTCGGACGCGAGGCCCCGATGGATCCCTTGCGGCGCATGCGCCGCAGGGGCTCCATCAAGACCGCGTGCGAGGTCACCACGGGCGGGTCGGTGAAGGTGAGCTTTAAAGGGCTGATAACCTGTGTATGGGGTTGAAGTACAAGGGTACAGAACCCCTGATCCGTTGGAGGGATAGATGGATGTCTTTCCCTCCTGCACGATCAAAGGTCTGATCGATCTATCTCAATACCTGAGCCCAAACGGCCAGGCGCAGGAGAGGTAAGGATAAGGAGTATAGATGAGGGTATTACACGGGTTCTATTCACAGCTGGAGGGCATTCTCGCTCTTGGACTCGAGCACCTCGAGCTGGGTTCTGAGCTCGCTCTCCATCTCGCGGCCCTGCGCAGCGACGAAGCACGGGAAGGCTGAGAACCGCTGGGAGAGAGTTCAGAATTGAGCCATCGCACGCCCCCGAGCTGGCTCAGTGGAAGAACCAATGACGGAAACCCGTAAACTTTCGGAGCTCCGTGCAACAAAAAAATGTTTTGGCCGGCTCTCGACCCTCGGCGGCGCCTCCGGCGGTGCACTCCGGCGCCGCCCTCTGGCGCGCTCCGCGCGCTGGGTGCTGGGGGAGGGGGGTCCAACGCCGACCCACGAAGTCAAGGCGGAGCTCCGAGGAGTTTTTGTCTGCGCTTGTGCCGACTGCCCTTCTCCAACTCTGGCTGTCACTCCTCTGTAGCCTCACATCCTCCCTCTGTCTCTCAGGGGGGCATCGGCCTCTTCTTGGAGCGTCTGCTTCTCGCGCTCGAGCAGGCCAAGCCGCGCCTTCAGGGATGCCTCGGTCTCGGCCGCCTGGCATCGGAGCTTGAGGGAGGACGCCAGCTCGCAGAAACACATGGCAGGAGGCACCCCGCAAAGGAATCGTGAGCCGTGAGCAGAAACAGGGGCCAGAAACAAAATCTGGCGTCTGCCGAGCAGGGGAAGCAACGGAGCCAAAACTTCTGGCCAGTACACTGCGACCAGACTTGTAAGGATACGCGGTGAGGATGCAAGACCCTTGAACGCCCGAATTGAAAGCCGATGTCAGAAGCCAAGTGCCCGTCACTGAAGGCCAGGATGGGCCGAGAGACAAGGATGCAAGGGTACCCCTGGAAAGCTGCTCATTCTGAATGGTGCCGCCTGACTGACGCAGCAGCAGACTTGGGACATGCGCTAAGGAACGCCTGCTGGAGGGCATTCTCGCTCTTGGACTCGAGCATCTCGAGCTGGGTTCTGAGCTCGCTCTCCATCTCGCGGCCCTGCGCAGCGACGAAGCACGGGAAGGCTGAGAACCGCTGGGAGAGAGTTCAGAATTGAGCCATCGCACGCCCCCGAGCTGGCTCAGTGGAAGAACCAATGACGGAAACCCGTAAACTTTCGGAGCTCCGTGCAACAAAAAAATGTTTTGGCCGGCTCTCGACCCTCGGCGGCGCCTCCGGCGGTGCACTCCGGCGCCGCCCTCTGGCGCGCTCCGCGCGCTGGGTGCTGGGGGAGGGGGGTCCAACGCCGACCCACGAAGTCAAGGCGGAGCTCCGAGGAGTTTTTGTCTGCGCTTGTGCCGACTGCCCTTCTCCAACTCTGGCTGTCACTCCTCTGTAGCCTCACATCCTCCCTCTGTCTCTCAGGGGGGCATCGGCCTCTTCTTGGAGCGTCTGCTTCTCGCGCTCGAGCTGGCCAAGCCGCGCCTTCAGGGATGCCTCGGTCTCGGCCGCCTGGCATCGGAGCTTGAGGGAGGACGCCAGCTCGCAGAAACACATGGCAGGAGGCACCCCGCAAAGGAATCGTGAGCCGTGAGCAGAAACAGGGGCCAGAAACAAAATCTGGCGTCTGCCGAGCAGGGGAAGCAACGGAGCCAAAACTTCTGGCCAGTACACTGCGACCAGACTTGTAAGGATACGCGGTGAGGATGCAAGACCCTTGAACGCCCGAATTGAAAGCCGATGTCAGAAGCCAAGTGCCCGTCACTGAAGGCCAGGATGGGCCGAGAGACAAGGATGCAAGGGTACCCCTGGAAAGCTGCTCATTCTGAATGGTGCCGCCTGACTGACGCAGCAGCAGACTTGGGACATGCGCTAAGGAACGCCTGCTGGAGGGCATTCTCGCTCTTGGACTCGAGCATCTCGAGCTGGGTTCTGAGCTCGCTCTCCATCTCGCGGCCCTGCGCAGCGACGAAGCACGGGAAGGCTGAGAACCGCTGGGAGAGAGTTCAGAATTGAGCCATCGCACGCCCCCGAGCTGGCTCAGTGGAAGAACCAATGACGGAAACCCGTAAACTTTCGGAGCTCCGTGCAACAAAAAAATGTTTTGGCCGGCTCTCGACCCTCGGCGGCGCCTCCGGCGGTGCACTCCGGCGCCGCCCTCTGGCGCGCTCCGCGCGCTGGGTGCTGGGGGAGGGGGGTCCAACGCCGACCCACGAAGTCAAGGCGGAGCTCCGAGGAGTTTTTGTCTGCGCTTGTGCCGACTGCCCTTCTCCAACTCTGGCTGTCACTCCTCTGTAGCCTCACATCCTCCCTCTGTCTCTCAGGGGGGCATCGGCCTCTTCTTGGAGCGTCTGCTTCTCGCGCTCGAGCAGGCCAAGCCGCGCCTTCAGGGATGCCTCGGTCTCGGCCGCCTGGCATCGGAGCTTGAGGGAGGACGCCAGCTCGCAGAAACACATGGCAGGAGGCACCCCGCAAAGGAATCGTGAGCCGTGAGCAGAAACAGGGGCCAGAAACAAAATCTGGCGTCTGCCGAGCAGGGGAAGCAACGGAGCCAAAACTTCTGGCCAGTACACTGCGACCAGACTTGTAAGGATACGCGGTGAGGATGCAAGACCCTTGAACGCCCGAATTGAAAGCCGATGTCAGAAGCCAAGTGCCCGTCACTGAAGGCCAGGATGGGCCGAGAGACAAGGATGCAAGGGTACCCCTGGAAAGCTGCTCATTCTGAATGGTGCCGCCTGACTGACGCAGCAGCAGACTTGGGACATGCGCTAAGGAACGCCTGCTGGAGGGCATTCTCGCTCTTGGACTCGAGCATCTCGAGCTGGGTTCTGAGCTCGCTCTCCATCTCGCGGCCCTGCGCAGCGACGAAGCACGGGAAGGCTGAGAACCGCTGGGAGAGAGTTCAGAATTGAGCCATCGCACGCCCCCGAGCTGGCTCAGTGGAAGAACCAATGACGGAAACCCGTAAACTTTCGGAGCTCCGTGCAACAAAAAAATGTTTTGGCCGGCTCTCGACCCTCGGCGGCGCCTCCGGCGGTGCACTCCGGCGCCGCCCTCTGGCGCGCTCCGCGCGCTGGGTGCTGGGGGAGGGGGGTCCAACGCCGACCCACGAAGTCAAGGCGGAGCTCCGAGGAGTTTTTGTCTGCGCTTGTGCCGACTGCCCTTCTCCAACTCTGGCTGTCACTCCTCTGTAGCCTCACATCCTCCCTCTGTCTCTCAGGGGGGCATCGGCCTCTTCTTGGAGCGTCTGCTTCTCGCGCTCGAGCAGGCCAAGCCGCGCCTTCAGGGATGCCTCGGTCTCGGCCGCCTGGCATCGGAGCTTGAGGGAGGACGCCAGCTCGCAGAAACACATGGCAGGAGGCACCCCGCAAAGGAATCGTGAGCCGTGAGCAGAAACAGGGGCCAGAAACAAAATCTGGCGTCTGCCGAGCAGGGGAAGCAACGGAGCCAAAACTTCTGGCCAGTACACTGCGACCAGACTTGTAAGGATACGCGGTGAGGATGCAAGACCCTTGAACGCCCGAATTGAAAGCCGATGTCAGAAGCCAAGTGCCCGTCACTGAAGGCCAGGATGGGCCGAGAGACAAGGATGCAAGGGTACCCCTGGAAAGCTGCTCATTCTGAATGGTGCCGCCTGACTGACGCAGCAGCAGACTTGGGACATGCGCTAAGGAACGCCTGCTGGAGGGCATTCTCGCTCTTGGACTCGAGCATCTCGAGCTGGGTTCTGAGCTCGCTCTCCATCTCGCGGCCCTGCGCAGCGACGAAGCACGGGAAGGCTGAGAACCGCTGGGAGAGAGTTCAGAATTGAGCCATCGCACGCCCCCGAGCTGGCTCAGTGGAAGAACCAATGACGGAAACCCGTAAACTTTCGGAGCTCCGTGCAACAAAAAAATGTTTTGGCCGGCTCTCGACCCTCGGCGGCAACTCCGGCGGTGCACTCCGGCGCCGCCCTCTGGCGCGCTCCGCGCGCTGGGTGCTGAGGGAGGGGGGTCCAACGCCGACCCACGAAGTCAAGGCGGAGCTCCGAGGAGTTTTTGTCTGCGCTTGTGCCGACTGCCCTTCTCCAACTCTGGCTGTCACTCCTCTGTAGCCTCACATCCTCCCTCTGTCTCTCAGGGGGGCATCGGCCTCTTCTTGGAGCGTCTGCTTCTCGCGCTCGAGCAGGCCAAGCCGCGCCTTCAGGGATGCCTCGGTCTCGGCCGCCTGGCATCGGAGCTTGAGGGAGGACGCCAGCTCGCAGAAACACATGGCAGGAGGCACCCCGCAAAGGAATCGTGAGCCGTGAGCAGAAACAGGGGCCAGAAACAAAATCTGGCGTCTGCCGAGCAGGGGAAGCAACGGAGCCAAAACTTCTAGCCAGTACACTGCGACCAGACTTGTAAGGATACGCGGTGAGGATGCAAGACCCTTGAACGCCCGAATTGAAAGCCGATGTCAGAAGCCAAGTGCCCGTCACTGAAGGCCAGGATGGGCCGAGAGACAAGGATGCAAGGGTACCCCTGGAAAACTGCTCATTCTGAATGATGCCGCCTGACTGACGCAGCAGCAGACTTGGGACATGCGCTAAGGAACGCCTGCTGGAGGGCATTCTCGCTCTTGGACTCGAGCACCTCGAGCTGGGTTCTGAGCTCGCTCTCCATCTCGCGGCCCTGCGCAGCGACGAAGCACGGGAAGGCTGAGAACCGCTGGGAGAGAGTTCAGAATTGAGCCATCGCACGCCCCCGAGCTGGCTCAGTGGAAGAACCAATGACGGAAACCCGTAAACTTTCGGAGCTCCGTGCAACAAAAAAATGTTTTGGCCGGCTCTCGACCCTCGGCGGCGCCTCCGGCGGTGCACTCCGGCGCCGCCCTCTGGCGCGCTCCGCGCGCTGGGTGCTGGGGGAGGGGGGTCCAACGCCGACCCACGAAGTCAAGGCGGAGCTCCGAGGAGTTTTTGTCTGCGCTTGTGCCGACTGCCCTTCTCCAACTCTGGCTGTCACTCCTCTGTAGCCTCACATCCTCCCTCTGTCTCTCAGGGGGGCATCGGCCTCTTCTTGGAGCGTCTGCTTCTCGCGCTCGAGCAGGCCAAGCCGCGCCTTCAGGGATGCCTCGGTCTCGGCCGCCTGGCATCGGAGCTTGAGGGAGGACGCCAGCTCGCAGAAACACATGGCAGGAGGCACCCCGCAAAGGAATCGTGAGCCCTCCTTCCCTCCCCCTCCTTCTCGGTGCCCTCCTCCTCCTCATCGACATCCCTGTCCCAGGAGGGCGCCAACTGTATACGTGCACCGAATCCTGGTCACGCCCATCATGGGCCGAGGGTCGGTGTATAAAGTATACGCCGTCTTGGCTTGACAAATAAGGCACACACGCATGAGCCTTGTGCTTACACTGGTCCTCCTCCTCCTTGTTTTCGTCCTCTTCCTCCTCCACTAGCACTTTTCCTTCTAGATGACTCCTCCTTGCCTGACCACCAGCCGTGTCGGTAGGAAGGGTCGAGCGTTTCGCCTGACTTCCACTCCGCCTGCGACCCCAAAGCTTCAAAGTTCGACCGAC